ACTGCAGTCGTGCTGTATGAAATCAAAGTTAATGTTTATGATAGTTATATTTAGAGCTGCAACCAGTTTAGTTTTGTTTCCTTGTTAATCTTTGTTTGGTCTACAAAACCTTTTAAAATGGTGAGAAATGAGTAAAAGCAGCAACTCCTGAGCGAGAAGGCTCACCTCTTCTGTAAAACACAGCAGGAAACCCTGACATGATGCATTTTCTCAGCCAATCTTTTCTTATAAAATGTCCGTATAATAGTGTGACTCCCTGGATGTAGGATGTGGGTATAAGTCACCATCATATCCCTTATCTTTGCTATCTATTGAGTAAGGGCACCGTCGCTGCATCCTGGGCTCAGCACCGCCCGACACGATTGTGATTGGTTTAAAGACATACAAACAAGCATCAGCGCTTTCCCCTCTACCAGAATGATACTGTGTGCAGACAGACCTTTCTTTAGCACTGGCACAGCACTGGAGACACATCTGACTATGTGAGACGAACTAGTTGTAAAAGCATTTCTAATTTGCATGTGGATAGAGATGCCCCCATCACGTTCTGTGCTGCAGATACAATAACCGATTATCAAGCCAACAAAAAACCATCATGGCCGATATCAACGTTTTGTTGATGATTTGTGTTGTCATAGCAGCTGGTATACAAGGCTCCAGACTAACCCTTTTCAACATCATACAGTAAATACAAAAATTCTAAATGTTATTGTCATCTGTGGTGGTTATTTGCATAACAACATGAGTAGTTGTAATGATGTATTATAAGCTGCTTAGCGTGTTAAACAGCTCATAATTCGTCTGTTATTATCTATTTCATGTCAAACAACTGGATTCATTCAAGTTTCTTCAAGTCACATTTGAACACATAACTTTATAAGTGACCTTTTTACAGTATAGAGCTTGAATGCATCATAATGTAACTCAATGGAACCTCCATTAATCCTCTTAATGCAATTGGTGAATAGAATGCTGATATCCTGAGCACGTATTTCTACTGATGACTATCGGTGGACGATAAATCGGGGCGTCCCTACATATTGATATTGTTATCCGACCAGAAGCCAAAGATAATCATGTTGCTAATATATTTAGCAAACACAGGTATTAAATTCTTTCATTTTAGGCTGAAACCTGTGAATGTTTGGAACTTTTGACTGACATTAATAATTGTTTAGTTTCATTAGAACTTCACAAAATATCCTAGAAAACGTATCTCATCAAACATTCTGAAAACACAGATGTGTTGGTAATTCCTTACATTTCTCAGGACCCTTGTCAGAGAATCCCACAGAAGTATGAGGTTGTACTAGTGATGCCCCCCCCATACCTGGGTCTAAAGGGGAACCGATAACAGTAGTGAATACCCGGAGTATTGATGCGGTCCAGAGTTAACGCATCTGCTATCGCTACTTTAGAGGTTACGGAGGGAGATCTCCACAGAATAAAAACACTGTTGCAAACCTCCTCTCTCTGTCTTTTCACGAGGGGCGGAGTCTTGCTTTACTCTGAAACACACACACACACAGACACACACACACACACACAGACTCCGGCTCAGTACAGCGTGAGACTCGCATCATGGCAGAGAGAAGAAAAAGATCCAACGTGTGGCTACATATGACTCCAGTAGAGTCTGAGAACAAACTCAATAAAACCCTCAGAAGTAAGAGTTTCCTCTTACAGCAGCAGTTTATCACAACATGTAGCCAACAAGCAGAACATCAACCTGTTTGTCCACTGCAGGTAACGTTAGAGTTTGATCAGAAGAACAGACGAATGTGAATTACTTATTTTTTATCTTATTGTTTAGCTGCGACTGTAGTTTAAGGATTTGAGAACCTCTTGTAGATACCGCCGGTCCCAGCCCCCCCACCCCCCTTAGACCATATCCCCTCTTGTTAGCAGCTATCAGGGAAGATGATGAGGTGGACGAGTGTCATTGAGCTGTTACCCAGTTTATTGTTAAAGGCCTGCACCCCTTCTCAACAGTGGAGTCAAAGGGATTTAGGGAACAACTAATAAGTCTGTCAGTGTATATTGAGTTGTTTGATACATAATTAGTAATAAGGGGAGCAGCTGTGTTGTTATAAGTTATTGTGAAGCTGCTAGTCCCACTACCACTCCAGCCAACACACCTTAACAATATAGTTTCTTTACTGTAGGGATAGGAGCAGGGCTCTCAACCCCAAATCCACTCCTCCCTGTAGGAATGTTCTCATATTTACATTTGTTGTTGGCATTGAAATAGTAGAGTTAACAATAGTGAGGTATTTAAACATTCAAGAAAGACTACTTGTTCACACATGAATAATAAAGCAATGTTGATTCTTCTTTTTAATGAATTGTCTTTTTCTTTTACAAAAGAATCAAAAAGATCCGATAAGAGTAACGATAATGAACTGAACTGATAAGCAGTATTAATAATAGTACTAGCATTCATAGAATCTTATCGATACGCATCCCTAGGTTTTACACAGTCAGGTGTTGATATGAAGCTGCATATGAAGCAGCCAAGCTAAGTACTTTAGTTTCGTGACAGTAGAGTGATGACAGAAAATGAGAAAGTTGGGAACTACATACCACAAAGGTCCCTGGTTGGACATGAACCGGGAGTCTGCTTATGGTGGGAACCTAAACCACCAGGTCACACCAGGGTGCCTGTATTTTTACAGCTTATAACAGATATGTCGGCTAATAAGTAACCAGAAGTGTCAGCACAGAGATGCCCTACATCTGTTTGAGGTCAGTGAGAAACGGTGTCTCCATTGCAGAGTTTGTCCATCAGGGAGTGCTTACAAGATCATCAGTTAACAGTGAAATGTCCCGCTCAGCTTGGTCACAATTCTGTTTACCAGATTTAAGGATATATCTACTTTTTGTCTTAAAAGGAATAAAACAAAAGAATTGTAAGTTCACTGTAGCTGCAATGAAAATATCTCAGCCTGACATCATGTTTACCCTGCTATCCGTGCAAATATGAAACATAGACCAACACATGTACAGAGTTCATGCGCTCCAGTGTGAATGTTTCCCTCCATTATGGGGCTGTTGGGCTCATCTCAGTTAGTATAAAGGGGTGGTGGTGAATGGGCTCTTTTAGCCAGCTGTAATTGAACCTGACCCACTTGCACAATTAACTCTAACCCATAATATTTGCTCGGCGGTATTGGGTTTTGGATGGCTCGGCCCCAGCGGTGAGGTCGACCTCAGCATAGCCATCAATCACTGCTGCTCCCTGAAGGGGTGGGGCTCCAACATGACCCAAGGAAGCACAGTGATTATTGGATTGCTGCCGAAGGTAAAGATGACTCGAGGAATTTCCAAGTTCTCCCGCATCACTGAGAGCCAAGTTGTCAGTTTAATAAAGTTTTTCCTCTGAGACTTCCATTGTATTCCTTGTTCGTTCTCCAGTAATATTCTGAGTCCACTTTAAGAAGGAGTGTGGGACCAAATACTTTTTGAGTACCTGTCAGGAACTGAAGTTACACAGAAGATGCTTGGTCAAATTCTTCAAAATATAGTGAAAGCGATTAAAGACTCGTCTCATTTGATGATCGTCAGTTGTTGCTCCGATGGTGCACTGTAGGCATCATCATATGAGCTTCGGGATGCTATTGCTTTGCAATGTACAGAGTTTACAGAGCACCATGTAGTCGAGTCTCTATCTCAAACAGTCCCACACTCTGGAGGATGTGTCGAGGTTTTTTTAGCTGCAGCTGTCCTCCAGGGGAAAGCTTGGTTTGACCGGGCTCAGACACTTATTGCGACGCGTCAACGCATGTTATTCAAATCAACATATTTTTGTAATCGATATTTCCAAAGTCAAGAGGGAATTTTCTCAGCCAGCAATAGTTGTGTATCGTGGTTAGAGCTGAAATGATTAGTTGACTAATCTTTCAGTGTATCGACTAGACAGCCGACTAGAGTTTTGACCACACATAAAATCAATTGTTGGGATGAATGGATGTGACTTTTTCAGTCCCGATACTGATGGCATACCTGGTCTTGGGTATATTCCGATACCAATGGATCTGATACCAGCTGTATGCCTCACTGTGTAGAAGTGACTGGCATCGTTCTTTTGTGTGTAAGGAAGCATCAAAAAAGTGAGATGTGCGTTGACTCATAGGCTTCTCTTCCTGGATACAGTAGTACAATAGTAATGGGCTGAGTATGTTTTGAAGGTGCAATGCCAATGTTATTATGCATCTCAAAAATAAGATATTCAAAGAGTCTCAAGGCTCAGCCGGAATCATGTTCACGTTTCACTCTGGTTGCTGCAGACGTCTTAAATAGCCTTTATTCATGCTGTGCATCAGAGTGGCATTATTTAAAGGAGCAAAGCTGAGACCTACTTTCATCTGTTCTCCCAGTAAACATACTCAGGGCTCTGCATACATGCACTTAATTGGTACATCTCTGCAGAGTCCACAGGGAGAGAGGCTGACACACACACACACACACACACACACACACACACACACACACACACA